TATTAATTTTAAATATGAAATGGAAGTTTAAATTCTAGAAACTAGGATTTGCGTATTTTAAGGTTGACTATCAAATAATATTTGAATATTGCTGGTCGGCCAGATGATATCTTAAGCAAACAGTTTAAGATAAATAGCTGATTAATAATTAATTAATGGATTTTATTTTAATAATACCAATTCCAGGCATCAAATTATGGTCAACTCCCTAAAAACTTGTTCTTATGAACACAAAAATAAATAAATTTAAGACAAAATTAACACATATTTATCTCTAATCTATCTTAGTTTCAACTCAAGCAGCTACAAATTAAGAACGTATCATCGCGGAACCAGGCTGCAAAGAATATATCCACATGCAAATTATTCCACAAATTAAAACAACTTCGTGCAGTTTCGTGCATGTTTTTTTTTTATTATTATTAACAATCTTTGGGGTTTGAACGTGAAATTCTTGTAATTATGATTGATTAAAGCAAGAACAGCTTAGGCTTTCTATAAAAGGGTGTTGCTATTCATGTTCTTGAATGATATCTTAAGCTTCATGACAAGAAGCATTATGGGTTCTTATGTGATATTCAAGCTTGTTTTTCTTGGCTTTTTTGGTTGCTTGCTCGCTTCTAGTTTGGATTCAGTTAACGATGGTCGAAAGGTATAAACGATTTGACTTAGATTTCTACGCTCGAAATGTATATTTGTATCGTTGATTTCGATCCCGGGTGTGTAGGTTTATATTGTGTACTTGGGGAACAAGCCGGATGATATGGCTTCCACTCCTTCGCATCATATGAGACTGTTGGAAGAAGTGGTTGGCAGGTTCATGATGTTCATTTTTACAGTTTTATTACTATCAAAACATGCACTAATTTCTATGATTTTTGTGTTCTTAGCACATTTGCTCCCGACGCTCTACTTCATAGCTACAAGAGAAGTTTCAATGGGTTCGTGGTTAGGCTTACCGAAGGAGAAGCTCAAAAGATTAGAGCTAAGGACGGGGTTGTCTCTGTGTTTCCAAATGGAAGGAAACATCTTCATACGACAAGATCATGGGACTTCATGGGGTTTACTACGAATGTTCCTCGTGTGAATCAAGTTGAAAGCGACATAGTGGTGGGAGTTTTGGACTCGGGAATCTGGCCCGAGTCTCCTAGCTTTAGTGATGTAGGTTATGGCCCTCCACCAGCTAAATGGAAGGGCGCTTGTCAAGCCTCTACGAACTTTCGTTGCAACAAGTAAACACTAATAAAACTTTGTCGTTAATTATATAGTGTGAGATTCCACAATCCCACATTGGTGGGGAGGAAAACGAAACATTTGAGTGTGGAAACCTTTCCCTAGCAAACGCGTTTTAAAGCCTTGAGAAAAAGTCCGAAAGAGAAAGCCCAAAGATGACAATACCTGCTAATGGTGGGCTTGGGCCATTACATATAGATTTAATAATTCATGGTTGTGAACTAATTGTTAGGAAAATCATTGGAGCTCGAGCATACCGTAGTGACAACAATTTTCCTCCCGAAGACTTTGAGAGTCCAAGAGATTCAGACGGCCACGGGACACACACTGCGTCGACCGTTGCTGGTGGTCTCGTGAGCCAGGCGAGTTTATACGGTCTTGCGCTTGGCACAGCTAGAGGAGGGGTTCCTTCTGCGCGCATTGCTGTGTACAAGATATGTTGGTCTGATGGGTGCTACGATGCCGATATTCTTGCTGCATTCGACGATGCAATTGCCGATGGGGTCGATATCATCTCTCTTTCGGTTGGGGGGAGCGAACCCAGGTATTACTTCAATGATTCAATTGCCATTGGAGCTTTTCACTCCATGAAACATGGGATATTGACCTCCAACTCCGCTGGGAATGATGGCCCTGACTACTTCACCATTAGAAATTTCTCTCCGTGGTCTCTTTCTGTGGCTGCAAGCTCCATCGACCGAAAGTTGGTATCAAAAGTGCAGCTTGGCAACAATAATATCTTTCAGGTCATACTTCTTATCTTATGTTCCTATCTTTCTTTGATTTCAGGATAATTAACTAACAAATTTTGGATGCAGGGATATACAATTAACACATTTGATCTTCAAGGGAAACAATATCCCTTGATTTATGCTGGACATGCACCCAATATCTCTGGAGGTTTTACTAGCTCCAGCTCCAGGTACATAACCAAAAAGATTTATCATTCTATGGAACTTACAAGTACACTACTAGCACATATTGTCAGTTTTGGCCCGTTACGTATTGTTATCAACTTCACAGTTTTAAAATGGGAGAGGGTCTAGTCCTATTCCGACAAGTGTCTCGCATTGTCGGGTGACTGACTCTAATACTATTTGTAACAGCTCAAATCCACTACTAGCAAATATTGTCTACTTTGACCCATTAGGTAACAAGTTAAAGCAGACAATATTTGCTAGCGGTGGGCTTGAGCTGTTACAAATGGTATCAGGGTCAGACACTGAGCCGTGTGCTAGTGAGCTAGATGTTGGACTCTAAGGGGGTGGATTGTGAAATCCCACGTCGATTGGAGAGGGGAACTAAGCAGTGAGATCCCACATCTGGGGAACTCAACATTCTTTATAACGGTGTGGAAAGCTCTCATTAGCATACACATTTTAAAACTCTGAGGTTGGGGACCATACGTAAGAGGCCAAAGTGGACAATATTTGCTGGTGGTGGACTTGGGCTGTTATAAATTGTATCAAAGTCAAGCACCAAACGGTGTGCCAGTGAGGACGTTGGGCCTCCAAGGGGGTGGATTGTAAGATCACACATCGGTTGGAGAGAAAAACGAAACATTTTTTTATAAGGGTGTGAAAACTTCTACATAGTAGACGCGTTTTAAAACTGTGAGGCAAACAAGAGTTAAAATAGACAATATCTACAAGTAGTGGGTTTGGAAACAGTTTTATGACTTCTTTCTCTAACCTTTCACACATTATTCTAAACAGATATTGTTCACAGAATTCAGTGGATCGCAACTTGGTAAAAGGGAAAATCGTTGTTTGCGATTCCATATTGTCTCCTTCAACATTTGTCTCCTTAAGTAGCGCGGTTGGAGTTGTTATGAATGATGCTGGCCTGAAAGATAATGCAAGGTCCTATCCCTTACCTTCTTCTTACCTCACAAGGGCAGCCGGTAACCACGTCAAAAACTACATGGGATCAAACAAGTACATTTCGACATCGATATTAAATAGTTTTACTAGCGCTATATGTTCGGATATTGACTCAGCTTGATTTATGAATCGATAGCTTTCCAACTGCAACCATTCACAAGAGCAATGAAGTGAACGATACGTCTGCTCCTATAGTAGTTTCCTTCTCCTCTAGAGGACCCAATCCTGAAACCAACGACATTCTCAAGGTTGTTTTCAATTCGTTTGTTTGTTGTTATAACATTGTTCATCATTTGTTTTCATGAACTTGCATGCATGCAGCCTGATTTGACTGCTCCTGGAGTTGAAATTCTCGCTGCATGGGCTCCGATTGCACCGGTCTCCAGCGGAATCAAAGATTCGAGGACGACGCTCTATAATATAATCTCGGGGACATCGATGTCTTGCCCACATGCCACCGCAGCTGCAGTGTACGTAAAAACATTCCATCCCACATGGTCTCCCGCTGCCATTAAGTCAGCTCTCATGACAACGGGTAATGTTTCGTTTGATAACCATTTGATTTTGCGAAAAATAAAGAAAACTAAATTATGTAAATTCACTTTTACAGCAATTCCCTTGAACGTGGAACTCAATCCACAAGCAGAGTTCGCATATGGTGCTGGCCACATCGACCCACTAAAGGCAACGAATCCAGGGTTGGTCTACGATGCCAATGAGACCGACTACGTGAACTTCTTGTGTGGCCAAGGTTACTCCACCGCCATGGTACAGCGTCTGACCGGCGACGGCAGTGTTTGTACCGCCGCCAACTCCGGCAGAGTTTGGGATCTAAACTATCCCTCCTTTGCACTGTCCACCACTCCTTCAGAATCCATCAACCAATTCTTCACAAGAACACTCACAAACGTGGGCTCGGAAGCCTCCACATACACATCTAAGATCCTTGGCGCCCCAGAAGGGCTCACAATCACAGTGGACCCGCCGGCTCTGTCATTCAATAGCATTGGAGACGAGAAATCTTTCACGTTAACCATTGATGGAACTATCAGCCAATCCATAGTGTCTGCTTCTGTGGAGTGGAGCGATGGCTCTCACAACGTGAGAAGCCCAATTACAATATATATTGTCAACAAAGCTTAATTTGGTCTGTGTTTTTATTTAAAGTTGAAGCTAATGAGACACTCTTTACATGTTGGAGAATAAACCGGTAATTTCGTTACCATGCAAAATTTAACGTTGTTTTTCTGTTTTCCTAAGTTTATTACAATAATTATTGGTAATATGAAAATATAAATTGTTTCCCTCCATTTACGACCCAATTTTCAATTTTTCTGGTCATTGCAAAACATTTTGAAAATTGTCTTTAATCGGGTTTAGATATGTATACATATAATAATGACGAATTTTCTTTTAAAAATGGAACAATTACTCATAAATGTCCTTAAATTATGATCATTTAGTTCAACCCTACCTATCATATAAATTAGACCCGTACAACCGAATCATACATTAGACCAGTACAACCAAATCATGAGACATAGGATCCAACCGTGAAACCACCCGAACAAATTAAGAACAATGTTGTTTTGTTTAGTATATTTAAAAGCAAATGCTTCAACTTGTAATATTATCAAATTAGGGTTCTAAATAAACTTAGAAACAATGGAATATTGGCATGGACGATTCTCTTTCAATTGCAGCCTTTTGCTAATGGCTTTTGCCTGCACCTTGCTTTTCACCTCCCAAGCAGCTGATGATAATGATAGAAAAGCACGTTATTTTCAAATTCCATATATTTAATCTTGTTCTTCATTTTGTCTGTGTTTAATCATTTTGTTTGGAATTTGCAGGTGTATGTTGTGTACATGGGTACATCATTTGAACCAGATTATTCAACAGCGTCTAAACAACATATCAACATGCTTCAACAACTTCTTACCATCAGGTTACCACGCCAATTCATCAATCAATATGTTTATCTATGAACATTAAAAAAAAATAAATAAATAACACGTGAATTTGATTATCAACTTTCATCTCAGCGATGCATCCAAGTCTCTGATTTATAGCTACCACCGGAGCTTCAGCGGCTTTGCAGCGACGCTCAACGATGAGGAGGCTCGAAAACTTGCCGGTGGGTTCTCCTATATATATATATATATATATGGTAAATTGTAATTTAGTACTAAATATTCTTATGGAGCTTTGAATTTTCAGAGATGGATGGGGTTGTATCTATGTTTGTGAGTGAGAAGAAACATTTACAAACGACAAGATCATGGGACTTCATGGGTTTGTTCGAAGGAGCTCCAAGAACGAGGTTGGAGAGCCAGTTGATTATCGGAATATTGGATACTGGGATATGGCCGGAATCTGAAAGCTTTTCCGATGAAGGGTTTGGCCCACCGCCGGCGAAATGGAAAGGCGAATGCCAATCGTCTTACAATTTCACCTGCAACAAGTAATTCCATTTTACACCTTCAACTAAATTTCTTTACTATTAGGTCTAATTATTTAGTAAATAATTCTGTTTTTTTTTTTTAATTTTTATGTTTATTTAATTATCTAAATTGGTAGATTTTTTGATTAATTAAATGTTCGGGAATTTAATTTAAATGTATAAGACTCGACTAATTAAGGAGTTCTAAGCAACGAAAATCATTGTTATGAAGTAAAATAATCGGAGCTCGATCTTTCCGGAGCGGGGCGATCATCAACTGCGAACACGACAATCTTTCTCCGAGAGATACGGAAGGCCATGGAACCCTCACCTCATCCACCGCCGCCGGAAATTTGGTCACCGGCGCCAGCCTCTTCGGCCTTGGCCTTGGCACCTCTCGTGGTGGCTCTCCTTCTGCCCGCATTGCCGTCTACAAGATCTGCTGGTCCGAGGGTTGCTTCGACGCCGACATTCTCGCAGCTTTCGACCATGCAATCGCTGATGGGGTCGATATCATCTCCCTTTCCGTTGCAGGTTCTGACCTCAAGGATTACTTCGAGGATTCCATTGCAATTGGGGCTTTTCACGCGATGACGAATGGGATCCTGACTTCGAATGCCGGTGGGAATACTGGCCCTTTATTTGGTACTATTCAGAATGTTTCTCCATGGTCGCTATCGGTGGCTGCGAGCACCATTGATAGGAAATTTGTGACAAATGTGAAGTTGGGTAATGGAGATTCCTTTCTGGTGAGCCCTAGATTGCTTTGTTCTTTCATGGAAGTGTTCTATCTGTTTTTGCAATATTCAGTCGTTGATTAGTTTGCACACCACCTGTTTGTTAGGGGATCTCTGTGAACACCTTCCAACTTGGAGATAAGTTGTTTCCACTCATATATGCTGGTGATGCTCCTAATACCACTGCAGGCTTCGATGGATCATCATCAAGGTAATCGAAGCTAAAAAGATTGCTTACTTTATGGACTTGTTAGAAGAATGGGTGGCTGACTGATGTTACTCTGTGAAGATTTTATGATAAGTGAAGTCTAAATGTGCTGTGTTTTTCCCAAGTTGAAGAACAAATCTTGGGTTTAAAGGAATTGAATTCTGGTGTTGAAATGCAGGTTCTGCTTCAATGGTTCTTTGGACGTGAACCTAATTCAGGGGAAGATTGTTTTATGCGATGGGATTGCTGATGGAGAAGTTAGTAGTGCCGCGGTTGGTATGATAATGCAAGATGATACTCTCCAAGAGGCGGCCCTTCTTTTCCCACTACCTGCTTCCCAGTTAGACTTCAACGCTGGAAAGAATGTTTTCCAGTACATGAGATCAACCAGGTATAATGGCACCATGCTGAAAGGATACATAGTATTTAAATCCTATATCCAATTTTGAGTTTGTTAGCTTAAAATGGTTTGAAACCATCCTTCTTAATAAAGTGCTTTTTCTTTGATAGTAATCCAGTAGCTAGCATAGAGAAGAGTACTGCCACTGAGGATCTATTAGCTCCATATGTTGTTTCCTTCTCATCAAGGGGGCCTAACCTACTTACACCGGATATTCTCAAGGTAACTCTTCTCACTCGGTTTTCTCCTCACGGCTTGTTAATGCTTCATTGGATTTTGACTTTTAAGAAATCTCTTGTAGCCCGATTTGGCAGCACCAGGAGTGGATATACTAGCATCTTGGCCTGAAGGTTCAGCAATTACAGGTTTTACAGGGGATAACAGAAAAGCTCCATTTAACATAGTCTCTGGCACATCCATCGCTTGCCCACATGCAACAGGAGCCGCTGCCTATGTCAAATCTTTCCACCCAACTTGGTCTCCAGCTGCTATTAAGTCTGCGCTTATGACAACAGGTAATAGTTTGAGCTTAGTTTTTTTAGTAACAGTAATTTAACTTAAATCCTATTTTAGTAGTTAATTCGGTTGCCAATCTAAGTCCTTATGCACTTACCTAATCTTAATATTTTCTCTCTTACCAGCTCTTCCCATGACCCAAAAGGTAAACGCAGAAGCTGAGTTCGCATATGGAGCAGGTCATTTAAATCCAGTAAATGCCACTAACCCCGGTTTAGTCTATGATGCCCACTATATTGATTACATAGAGTTCTTATGTGGGCAAGGATATAGTACAGAGAATCTTCGTCTTGTTACCGGTGACCAAATCAACTGTTCAGATGTTAGAAAAACTGCTGCATCACATCTAAACTATCCATCTTTTGCTCTATTGATCAAATCTCAAAGATTGGCTACTTGTATCTACCGCAGGACAGTCACGAACGTCGGGCTGTCAGTGTCGACATATAAAGCAGTTATTCAAGCTCCTTCTGGGCTCAAAGTTAGAGTATACCCTACTACTCTTTCCTTCAGTTCTCTTGGACAAAAGATATCTTTCACTGTAAGGGTTGAGGTAGAATCTGATGAGAAGATGCTTTCTGGTAGCCTAACCTGGGATGATGGACTGCATCTGGTGAGGAGCCCCATTGTTGCTTATCATTTGCCATCATAGGCTTATTATTGTTGGGAAGTCCCCTATATTTCCTTTTGTTATTGTGCTGAGTTTAAACTTGTTTATGAAATTTGAGTATTATATCTACTCCTAAAAAAAAATCAATCCAAGTATAATATTTAAGTCATCGATTACCGTTCTAAAGATTAATGGTTCGATTCTTCGGTCCATATTTCTTTTACTCTAGTTCAAAATAGCAACAGCAATTCCAATTGTGAAAGACAATCATCATACCAACTACTTTTGGTGCAAAACCTTCAAATTTCTCTATATACAATGCTTAAAAGAATACCAAAAGTGTTCCTTATACTTTTCCATTGAAGAATAAAAAGATGTTGTTACCAACTATTCCTTATTGAATAGGATTAAATATCCTTTCCTAAATAATTCTCCTGGATTTGTTCTGCGGTATCTTTGTTCAGTTATCATTCATGCCTTTACAACTTAGAATCTTATCCCTGAATCTGAATGCCTTCATGTTTATCCGATCATAAATCGCCACCCAATCCTCTCCCAATGGTCACAACTCCCCACAATCACAAAACCATATATTCCACTTCCCAATTCTCAGAATATTTGCTTCCATAGACATTAGAAGAAGATGCAGTGGGAAGTATATCTGATTTATTTAAGAATTTAGCATATCAGAAGAAATGGGAATCCTTCAAGTTGCCCTCAACCCCCTTATCCAACGAGACGACCACAACTCCTTTTCTCTCGAGGATCAATAAGGCACAGTTAGTGAGGACAGGGGAAAAGGAGGGGATTTTGTGAACCCACAAGATGGATTGGATGGGACAATGAAACATGCACATCAGACAGGGAAAAAACACAGGTCAAAGAGATTGGTAGGGGACGTGGCGGATTTAATCCAGGGAATTGCAGAAGGACCACTTGGAACCATGTTAGAATTGAATGTGGGCACATGGAGCTGAAGAATCATCGATTTGTACTGTCTTTTTTGGGCTTATAAATGGGATTGAACTGTTTCAGGTCTTGCGTGTCTGAAATCTTCACGTGGGTCTGCTTAATCTCTTTCTGTTTTTGATACATATTATCTGTATGTCTGTTTGTCTGACTGGAAAATCTTATCAAGTTCCCTGTTTTGTTTTGTTTTTGGTTTTTTTTCTTTTCTTTTCTTTTGCTTTTTGTGTATATGGGTGTGGGCCGTTAAGAGATAACCATCAGGTTTGGGGAGTAGTTTTGTTCGTTGTCTGACAGAGAAAGCTCCAATTGTTAGCACTATGGAGAACAAGAAGCAAGTGGCTGCCTCTTCATCTTCAACTTCGGATCTTCTTTTTGGTCCCATGGACTCAAATTCAGCGTCTTCAACATCCACCACTGGATATTTTGGCTCTATTTTCCCACAACTGGTTGGTTCTTTAATTTCAACTACTAGTTCTTTGTTTTTTTAATCTCCCTTTCTCTCTCAAGATGTGAGTTTCCTGATTTGGGTCATTTTCAGCATTTGCTTCTTGATTTTGCATGTTTCAAGTTGATGATATGACAGCTTAAAAATACGCAGAATAGGAACGAGAAAGCTTCTAAGCTAGGGAAACAAAGTAATGGAACCTTAATTTCTTCTAGTGGAGATAAAAACTACTTGTTAAAGGGACTCCAAAAGTGGTTCTGTTCTGTTCTATGTGAAATTTCTTTATGGGATTTCTAAAGCATGCATTGAACTTTTCTTCTCTGGTTTCAGGTTGTGGAAAGAGAGAAAAATCAGGATGTTGGGCCTGGAAAAGTTGGGAATCCAGGTTTCTTTAGCCTTCTAAAACTAGAATTTGAAATTTTGAACACATCTCCCTCACAAAGGATAAGAAGCCTATGTCTACCTTAGCAATCTCTCATGATTTTCTCTGTTGAATGGCTTTACAAACAATATTATCTCCTCCATTTAAGTAAAACTCGTTTTTTATCCTCTCAGTTAATGCTTCTGTAAATGGCATGAATGGAACTGGTGGTGCAAATGGGAAAGGTGAAAGCTCCATCTATCTGAACGAAACTATGGAACCAAGTTACTTTAGTTCCTCCATCTTTTACGGTGGCCAAGAAAACTACTCCCCAAGAACTAAACTCTCAGAATCTCACCATAATGTAAGCATTTCAGAATGATCACATGCCATCTTTCTAATAGTTTCCTGTAGTATTTGGATAAAACTAGAAGGCCTTTTGTTGGGATCGTAATGAACAAATAGAATGATTTTATATTGATCGAGTAATATTGGTTTGTTATGTGTCACTGTTGTGTTGATTACTTGATTGCTACTTAATGATGTTATGAACTCAATACTTTATCAGTTTAAGAAAGAAGAGGACAATGATGCAATTGGAAGCAATTCAAACTCTGCTTCAAGAGGAAACTGGTGGAAGGGTATGACAACTTCCATGGATTTGCTCTTGGAAAAACAAGAGACGATGATGGTTGAGACAATTTATAACTTGCTATTCTATTTTTCAGGTTCTCTTTATTACTGACACCCCCATCATCGTGGGATTTCCAGCTGCATAGGTAATACCAAACTATCCTCTTCGTTACTCATCGGCGAAACTCGTTCGTCTCTATCATCCATCTAGTTGGCTGACATTCAGTTACTTGATAATGTTTCAGGGCTTGATTATATTTTCATTTACAAGTGAAACTACCATATAGAAATAAAGTAGAGTTTGAAGAGGTCCCATGAGTTTGGTCACTGAATGAAAGCTTGTATGGTTCATATAGTGTGGGGATGTTAGTCAATTTTGGCAAGTGTGCGTTCCAAAGCTGAAGAATGCTCTGATGTAGCTTTCTTCTGCAACCAACTGGAAGTCTTTTCAATATCTCCATCTGAATCTATCCTTATTATCTGTTACTGTAATAACTATGTTCACACAGTATCTGATGAGTCTAGTTCAGTTTACTATTATTGTTCCTTCTGCTCCTGCTTGTGATTCCATGGTGATCTAAAGAGAGCCCTTTAAAACCAACCTCAATATGCATCTCTGCCTCCAACTTATGCTTGATGGATATGAACTTCATGAGGTAGGACAATGTTTTAATGATGTGGGTATAACGATAGCAGGTCGTGTTGGTTCGAAACACGATTCGGAGTAATCTTGTTTTCGAGTGCAACATGATAACTTGTTGGATCGTAGCAACTTATTTTCATTTTCTAAGTCAACTACTAATCACTTTCGTATTAAGTTTGGTGTGTTACCTTTTCATTATTGGCAATGATATTTTCTAATCTTCAATCACAAGATAGAGACAGATCGTGTAAAAATTTTCCTTTTGGGTTTTTTATCAAGGTTTTTAAAACGTGTATGTTAGAGAGAGGTTTTTATTTTTATAAAAAATAATTTGCTGGTACACCACCTAGTGTTTGGCTCCGATAGTATTTGCAACAATCCAAATTCATTACTAGTAGATATTATCTTCTTTGAACTTTCCTTTCGAGTTTCTCCTCAAAGTTTTTAAAACGCGTCTGTTAGGGAGATGTTTTCACTCTCCTAAAGAATGTTTGAATCTCACAATCCACCCTCTCCTCGTTCCTCTCTCTAATTTTGAAAATTCAAAAAGACTAAATTTAGTTGAATTATTTTAGAATAATTATGATGAGACGTCGAACATTAATCCTCGAAAAAAGTAACATGTCTTTAAAAAAAATAGTAAAATAGGAAATAATAGAATTATTATTATTATATAATATATAAAATTGTATTTATGTTTGGTACGTGAAAAGAGAAGAATGTGGAAGGTGACCGGCCGACAAGACCCACAACCTCCGAAGATGTATGTCACTCAACTCACACATTTTAACACTGAAAATTATTGGACACCCCAAACTATATTATAAATTTTAACATCACAAAACCATACATTAAAATAAACTTTATCATTTAATTTTAACATTTTCTTTATTTCTATATATTATAGTATGATGTACGTCAATATTTTAATGATGCAAGCTAAACTATGATAAGTTATGTTAGTTTGAAGAACATGCGTCTCGTATATCACGATCTTCCTCATTACTGTCACAATCTTTACAGACTTCAACATTATCCACATTTAGACATGTTGAGGATTCAGACAAGGATTCAAAATCTGAAACAACGGTTTGTCTTAGAATTCCTTTGCATCCCTTACAAAATGGTTACGATACTTGCTACTCACTTTTAAGAGTGAAAATTATCTCAACAAACTAACGCGAATTATTTCACACGCGTTCTATGGAAATTTCTAAAAGATCACCCAAAATTAAATTGCATCAAGCAAAATACGCTAAAATCTATGAAGTTCAAATGATTGAGTCACCGAAAAGGAATATGCATCTTGTTAGTATAGCTAGCGACTTTTAATTCTTCTAAATCTTTTAAAGTCAAATTTGATTTTAATTCATTCATGCACTCATTTGTTACTCGAGTATCAAATTTTTATCTTTTCTATACGACAATTACACGTGAGAGATTCAAATCAAAGGTGGATTGTAATATTTTGCCAAAATTAAAAGAGAATAATGGTTGTTCAATCATAATTATAATTATAATACGTAATAGTAATAACTATAGGGCCCCACGTGTGGCCACTTGTGGCATAAAATACTTAATTTAACTATAATTAATAGACGGCTTTCGACTCCGGCCAATAAGAGAGGAGTGTTATTTGACGGCGTTGTGTCAAAAGACGGAAACATTAACTGCGCTCCAAAAAAAAGAAAAAAAAAACATTTCACGGGTTTCCTGTGACACGTAGATCCTCTCCTTTTTTTAATACTCCATCTTTATCTCAAATTTATTTCTCTCTTTAAATTAGAAAAAAAAATAGAAAAATATTTATGTTAAATTTATGCCGACATTTTTATGTCTGCTATTTCGACGTCATAATGGAAGAACATTTTAATTATATTTCTAAATATTAAAATGACCCAATACTGTAATTTAATGTTTAAAATAAAATTTAAACTTATTTTAAGAGTATCGATATTGTTAGTTCAATACTTATATATATTTCTCTATCGGTTTAATTCATTTATTTGTCAAAACGGCCCAATCTCTTTATCAATTAGAAAGATTACGGAAAGTTCTTGAGAAATTAAAGATTATCATCACGTTTTTGTTTGAAAACAAGTATCATTGCTTCCACGTTTTATCTTAGATCTATGTTGCATACAGAAGTCACTAGCATTCAACTTCGAATCAGCTAGTAAGTCTTCAAAATTGATGTTGCGATTTTTTTTAGTAAGATTTTCAGTGGTTGATTTGACTAATTTTTTCAAGGTATTGATGGCATCATCGTTAAACTATTGAAATATTAAAATTACTGTGGTAACCTAGTCCTTTACGTGAAAAAGTCGTCCGAGATCACTTGGGTCACGGTTGACTATTTAAAAAAATATTTTTTTAATTAAATTTTATTAAAAAGAAATATATATCAATTATCGTGTAGTGGTGGATAAGGAGATGATTTGGGCTAAATCATTTCTCATGATTGAACTTAATCATTCCTGATCACTGTCTTAAACTTTAATTATCCACACACAGAGGAATAATTAAAGTCTGACTTCGTTTAATATTTGACTAAAATTAAAGTTCAAATCCATAAAAAATATAATAATAATATATTTTTTTAATAATACCAACTCCTTTTCCTTTTTTTTTCTTTTTTTCCTAATATTTATTTTCGTTAAGACAAGTGGACATTATTTAAAATAATATAGATTTGCTAAATAAATATTAAACTGATTAATATAATTATTAAAAAGAAGATTATTTGAAAAAAAAAAAAGTCAAATAATGATAATTATTTAATTTTTTCTCTTAAAATTTGAAACCTTAATCAAAAGCAAACCCTGTCATCAACAGTCACTCACTATCTCTCCGACCTTTTGTTGGGCCCATTTCTTCCTTCGAACTCCCTCCATTATTAAATGAATCTCCTCTTCCTTCAATCTTCGCCAATTCCTTCTTCACTTTCAAATCCCCATGGCTTCCGATTCCACTTTCTGGCTTCCCCCCCACTTTCTCTCCGATCACCACACCCTCCCCGGAAAACCCATCGCCGCTCTTCATTCTCCCCTTCAATCTGTGCTTCTGAACGACGACGATCAGGAAGACTTTCTTGCCGGCTTGACGCAACGCCTTACTCACTCCACCCTTCGTGATCGTCACAAACTTGTCTCTCTCCACGAATTCGAAGTACCCATCTCTTTAATTTTTTGATTGGCTCGATTTTTGGGATGGGTTTCTGATTTTCCGGTGGCTCTTTTTTTTTTTTTTTTTTTTTTTTTTTTTT